CTGGAGCTGCCCCGGGTGGAGTCGGAGCATGAAGGCGAATTTACCTGCCGAGCTCAGCACCCACGGGGCTCCCTGAGCATCTCCCTGCACCTCTCTGTGCACTGTGAGTGGAGGGATGGGGGCACCTGGGGGAAGGACACCTGGTGCTGGGGAGGGGCAAGGCACCGCTTGACCCTTCTCTCTCCCACAGATCCTCCACAGCTGCTGGGACCCTCCTGCTCCTGGGAGGAAGAGGGGCTGTACTGCAGCTGCTCCTCCCGAGCCCAGCCGGCCCCCTCCGTGCACTGGCAGCTGGGAGAGAGGCTGCTGGAGGGGAGCCTCAACAACACCTCCTTCAAGGTCACCTTCAGCTCAGCAGGTCCCTGGACCAATAGCTCCCTGAGCCTCAGCAAGGGGCTCAGCTCCAGCCTCAGGCTCAGCTGCGAGGCTGGAAATGTCCACGGGGCTCAGAGCGCCACTGTCCTGCTGCTGCCAGGTCAGGGGGTCTGCTGGGGACAGAGGCTTTGGGAGAAAGGAGATGAAGCTGGGCGAGGGGCTGGGGCCTGATCAGGAAGGGGTGAGGGACAGAGTCCAACTCTAGCTGGTTGGAGGCTGAAGGACATGAAAGCTCAACTTCCGTGGGGGGAGGGGGCACAGGGTTCTGGGGTTTGGAGGGGAGTCACCCTCAACCTCACTCATCTGCAGGGAACCTCAAGCCTGGGGAAAGATTCCTTCTGGGGGCTGGCTGGGGAGCTGGTGTTGCTGGCCTGCTCAGTCTATTTGTCTACCTCTTCTTTAGGTGAGTGTCATCCTCGGGAGGGAGGGCGAGTGCAGGGGGGTGGCGAGGGGTCCTGGGATCCCAGACAGCCCCACCTGGAGGAATCTGGATGGTGCTGAGGTTGCAAGAATTGGGCCTTGGGGCTGAGAATCAGAACAGGGTCTGTTCCCACCCGGATCCCAACCATGCATGAAGGGAATCCGTTCTTATTATGAAAGTCATCAGGCTAGGTATGTCCCCCATCTCCTTGCCTTGGTCAGCCCTCCTAGTTTCTGTAGTAGGGGGACAGTAGTCACACTAAAAGCTCTGAGCCAGGCAGGCTGCTGAAAGGTCCTGGTCTCCCCTTCAGGATGAAGACTTGCAGGAAGAAGGCACCTCCACGCAGCGTTCCCAGCTCCTGGGTGAGTGATGGGCCCTCTGTCCATTGGGGGCCCCATTTGGCCACCTCCCCAGGATGGCCATGGCCACATCCCTCTTGATGACTTAAGATGATCATAATACCCTAAATAGTCTTTTGCACTCGGTTTGCCATCAACTCAGTCACCCAAGCCAGTGACCCCGGAGTCACCGTCCCCTCTGCTCTCCATCTCCTCTCGCAGAGCAAAGGGCCACCACGGCCTAGCCATTTTACTGAATGTGTTCAGGTCCAACTGGACTCTCCCTACTCATCCTCCCCCTCCCCCTCCCCAACACAGGATGCCAGAAGGATCTCCCCCAAATAATTGTCTACCACAAATTCAGGGGTCCCCAAGACACACTCGGGTTTAATAACTCCCCAGAAGGACTCACAGAACTCAGAAAAGTTGTTCTACTCATGGTTATAATTCATTACAGCCAAAGGATAGGGATTAAAATCAGCCAAGGGAAGAGGCGAATGGTGCAGGGTCCAGGAGAGGCCAGGCACCAGCTTCCATGGTCTCCCCTGGTAGAGTCACACGCACAGCACTTACTTTTCCCAGCAATGTATGACAACACCAGAGAAGCTCACCAGAGCCTTGGTGTCCAGAGTTTTTATTGGGAGGTCAGTCATATAGGAATGGCTGACCGCTCATGTAGTGGAATTCAGTCTCCATCCCCTGCAAAGGTCAAGCTGATATTGTGACTCAAGGCCCCCACCCTTGATCACACAGACTACCTGGTGTGGCCCAAGGTCCCATGTGAACAAAGACACTCTTGTCAGGCAGGACATTTCAAGGATTTAGAGGTTCCATCCCAGGTGCTGGGGACAAAGGGTCAAACTTTCCTCTGGGCAAGGTTAACCCTTTACTGTACAATATCCTTTGATTGTAGGGTTCATAACACAATTTCACAATTATATTTGCCTGAACCTATGAAATAATGAGTGGCTCCTGAGGGCAGTTCAGGTCTGAGCAAATTCCTGTCCTTCTCATACCATTCCTGTGCATCCTATTACAATTTGCAATTAGATAGTAATATAATTGACTACTGCCTTAACTTATGCTTCCCCCACTGCAAACTGGCAGGAGATCAGAGATAGTGTCTGCTTTGTTCCCCAGTGAATATCCAGGGCCTGGCACAGGGGAGCTGCTCCATACGGCAGCAGGCACTGGAGTCAAAGAGACCTGGGCATGAATCTTGGCCCTACCAACAACTAAATGTGTGATTTTGGGATATTTACTTAGTCTCAGTTTCTCAGCCTTGATACATGAGGACAATAGTGTCTCCCTAGTAGATTACTGTGATGGACCTAGGAGACTGGCAATTGATTACCAAGGGCCAGGCATTATTACTCTCAAATATTTTTTGAATGAATGAACAGGGGCTCAGTCAATGTTTGTGGGATGAATAGATGAAAAAAATAAGTGCTCAGTTTCCAGGTTTGCTTGTGGGCCCTCCTTGCTATCTTCCAGCCCCCATTATCCTAATTTGAACCCCTTTTTTCTCCTCCACTCAGGTTTACCAGCATGAGTGTCCAACAAGCAGTCCCTTAGACCCCCCTTCCCCACCTGTGGCTGACCCCACCTTGGAGGAGGAGGAGCATGAACTCCATTATGCCACCCTCAGTTTCCAAGCCACCAGAACCACCAGCACCACTGAGTATGCAGAGATCAAGCTCTGCAAATGACGACACCCAGCTCCGGTGACCCAGAGCTTCTCAGGGAAGGGAGACATCAGGGACATGTGTATGGAAGTCCCATTGGTGTGGTGATGGGCAGAACCGGGCTCAAATTTCAGCCCTGTCACCAATTATGAGCATGAGTTTGAGCAAGTCACTTTACTTCTCAGTCTCCTCTCTGTCACATGGACACAATAAACTGAACTTACAGGGGTGTTGTGGGGCATCAAAGCAGTAACCAATGGGCTCATGTGCAGAGCACCGTGCCAGAGGACACATCTCTTCTCAGGGACGCCCACCTGGAATAAGGGACCAGCCATCCTGGCACAAATGGGGACCACTCGGCAGGGCTGTTCTAGCTCTGGAGCTCCCCGAAGGCCTGGAGGAGGCTGTCACTGGGTTGCATTGCAGTTCAGTTCTCCCTCTGCCCCACCTGTCCCCTTTCTCCTCCCCTCCACAGGGACCATCCCTGGGGCATGTACCTCTGCACACTAGTCTCTCTCAGCCCCTTTCTCCTGAACACCAAATGTGTATTCTCTAACACAAAAAAAAACCATTCACATATCTGAAATAAACGATAGGTTATCTAAATGACACACCTCTTTCTTTAATTATATGTCCCTGATGCTTTGGTTCTCCTTAATGGCTTCTTCTTTTTGCAGAATTTGTTTATAAAATTCTTTGCAGTTACAGTCTATGTTCCATTTACTTTGTAATATAGTTTTACAGTGGTCACTTCTGATTTTGTCCTTTCCCATTGATTGTCCATTGAATATTTTCCATGGTTTCCATGAATGAGAAAACACATTCAACATTAGCACAGTGAGCCAACAGAGTGAACATGTATCGGCATAAAGTTAGCAATTTTGTGCTGGTAACTGCTCTTCAAATTTGATGTGTTGAAGCACATAATTCCATCTTTCATGGCACAATTTGCTTTGCCATTCTTCAGGACTACACTGCGACTTTTGAAAATGGTGTCCACTAAACAAAATGAGAGCCTCATTGTCATTTTTTTATTCCCA